TGCTGGGGTCTTGAGTTGTGGGCAACCCCGCCCTCCACATAGGCCCAATGTGTCCCTCTAATTTGCATAGAGTTTCCTCTGCCATTTTCTCCCTAACTCTTCCCTGAGACTGAAGTCTGTTCACTTTTTTAAAACTGTATTCTCCTAGACTAGAGCAGTAAGCTCCCTCCCTACTCCACTGTATTGGGTGCTTTTCTTCTTCACTTCTTAAAGGTTGTTTTTTGGCAAATGTAGTTAACATATTTAATAAATAGATTTTTAAAAATTGAAACAACCTCTGTGTTTCAAGAACTCTGTATTTGAAGGGCAGTCCTTCTGAGCATGGTGAATGATTGTTATTCTGTAAACACAAGAAAGGGGGCTCATAATTTTCTATTCAGTTTTAGGTCTTTCAGAGTGGATTCTCTGGTTGCCCCAGCCTGCAACGCTCTTTCCCTTCTCAATGAAATCTATTTTCTGTATCAATCATTTGGCTTCCCCTCCCTCCTTCTTTCCTCTCTCCTTCTTTCCTCTCTCCTGTCCTATTTTCTTTTCTGCCTTTCCTGTTTTCCTCCCCTCCTCCTTCTTTCCTTCCACAGTGACAGTGGAAAGAGCCTAGATTTTGCAGGCCCAATTAGCTTCAGATCCTTACCATTTCTGACACATATGTATGCTGTGACCTTCAGCAACATTCATTACATCTCAAGCAGCATCTTCCCTGCTGCACAAGGGGCTATTAATTACTGCCTTGATGGTTAACATAGAAGTGGAGTGTTTCTCAAACCCTAGGGGTCTTGAGTGTCACCTAGGGTGATAGATGAAAATGCAGGTTTTCCAGGCCACACCCATAGGTTCCAATCTATTAGTTCAGGTTCCAGGCAACTCAACTGCACTTTGACAAGCTCTCTTGTTAAAGTGGGTTTCACTTTATTTTTATTTATTTATTTGAAAGTCAGAGTTACACACAGAGAGAAGGAGAGGCAGAGAGAGAGAGAGAGAGAAAGAGAGAGAGAGAAAGAGAGAGAGAGAGGTCTCTTGTCCACTGGTTCACTATCCAGATGGCTGCAATGGTCGGAGCTGTGCTAATCCAAAGCCAGGAGCCAGGATCTTCTTCCAGGTCTCCCATGTAGGTGCAGGGCCAAAGGACTTGGGCCATCCTCAACTGCTATCCCAGGCCATAGCAGAGAGCTGGATTGGAAGAGGAGCAGCCGGGACTAGAACTGGTGCCCATATGGGATGCCAGTACTGCAGGGGGTGGCTTTCCCCACTATGCCACAGTGCCGGCCCCAGGGGTCTCACTTTAACAAACACTGGATATGGGCCAGCGCCGTGGCTAACTTGGCTAATCCTCTGCCTGCAGTGCTGGCATCCTGGGTTCTAGTCCCGGTTGGGGCTCCGGGTAGTAGTCCCGGTTGCTCCTCTTCAAGTCTAGCTCTCTGCTGTGGCCTGGGAGGGCAGTGGAGGATGGTCCAGGTGCTTGAGTCCCTGCATGCGCATGGGAGACCGGGAGGAAGCACCTGGCTGGCTCCTGGCTTCGGATTGGTGCAGTGCCGGCTGTGGCTGCCATTAGGGGAATAAACCAATGGAAGAAAGACCTTTCTCTCTGTCTCTCTCTCACTGTCTATAACTCTCTCTCTGTCTCTCTCACTGTCTAACTCTGCTTGTCAAAAACTAAAAAATTTAAAAAAACAAACACTGGATATGTGCAAATGTGTATGTGCAAATACAAGTAGAGTCAGACACATTGTATGTACTCTGAAGGTGGGAGCCATGATTATTAATTACTCTACAAATATTTATTGAACATCTACTGTGTACCATGCAAGATACCAAGCTCTGCAGGTACCTAACCACTTAATTTCTGTTTTGTATTTTAAAATTGTCTTTCTGAGAAAGATGGTTTTTCCAAAATGTATTCATTTGGGGTGGGGGGTGGGGTGGGAGCTCGAGAGAGCATTCTCATCCCTTGGCTCATTCCACAAATGTCCACAAAGGCTGGCTGGCTGGGCTGGGTCAAAGCAAGGAACTGAAAACTCAATCCTAGTCTTCCACATGTGTGGCAAGGACCAGTGCCTCCAAGGATACACATGAGCACGAAGCTAAAGACAGGAGCTAGAGCCAGGTAACAAACCCACACACTCCAGTGTGAGGTGTTGGCATCTTAACAGGTGTCTTAATTGCTAAGCTAAATACCTGCCCCTGATTTTCTTTTACTGTGTATCTAATTTATCCTGTATATATGACTTGTTCTCATATTCCTAGTAAGATCCTTGGAGGCAGGATAAAACAGCATAATGTGGCACAGAAGAATATAAGTTTTTAAAATACCTACTAATCCTGATTCTGTTATTTATTAGCTATACAACTTTAGGCAAGTCTCTTTCATTTTTTTTAAATGTATTTATATATTTGAAAGGCAGAGTTGCAGACAGAGACAGATTTTCCATCCTCTCCTTCACTCCCCAAAAGGCTGCAACAGCCAAGACTGGGCCAGGCCAAAATCAGGAGCTTCATCCGGGTCTCCCAAGTGGTTACAAGGGCCCAAGTACTTGGGTCATCTTCTGCTTTTCCAGAAGCGTTAGCAGGGAACTCGATTGGAAGTGAAGCAGCCAGGATTTGAACTGTTGTTTCTATGGAAAGCTGGTGTCAAAGGGGGCAGCTTGCCTGCCATGCCACAATGCTGGCCCCGGTAAGTCACTCTCACAACCTTATTTTCCTCATCAGAAACAGGAGTGCTACTTAGTAGTTAAAAACCTGTAGTTTGCTTAAGGCATGCGGATCCGGCTGAAAAGCCCATGAGAGTATTTCAGGCATGGAAAGCCAAGCCCTTTTGGCGAGTGAAAAAAAAAAAAAAAAAAAAAAAAAAAAAAAAAAAAAAAAAAAAAAAAAAAAACCACCTGAATGAAAGATCTCTGTGAGTGAGATCCCAGTGGAAAGAACAGGTCTTCAAAGAAGGAGGTACCTTTCTCTGAAGGGAGGAGAGAACCTCCACTTTGACTATGACCTTGTCTAAACAAGACAAGAGTCGGAGAACTCAAGGGGCTTCCATAGCCTTGGAAACTCATGACTGGAGCATAGGGAGATTACTGATGCCATAAACAGGAGTGTCAATTTGTAAAGTCAACAACAGGAGTCACTGTGCACTTACTCCTCATGTAGGATCTCTGTCCTTAATGTGCTGTACATTGAGGCTTAATGCTATAACGAGTACTCAAACAATATATTTCACTTTGTGTTTCTATGGGGGTGCAAACTGTTGAAATCTTTACTTAATGTATACTAAACTGATCTTCTGTTAAAAAAAAAAAAAGAAGAAATTATCAATTCCCAACTTGACTCTCACTGGAATTAAACATGACAATATGTCTGATCTGATTTCATCATCATTTAAAAAATCATCTATTATTTTTCACTTTATGTTTCTGTGTGGGAGCGAACTGTTGAAATCTTTACTTAATGTATGCTAAACTGATCTTCTGTATATAAAGAGAATTGAAAATGAATCTTGATGTGAATGGAAGGGGAGAGGGAGTGGGAAAGGGGAGGGTTGCGGGTGGGAGGGACGTTATGGGGGGGAAGCCATTGTAATCCATAAGCCGTACTTTGGAAATTTATATTCATTAAATAAAAGTTAAAAAAAAAAGATTAAATGAGATTATAAAGTGCTCAGCACTGAGAAACACAGTGACCATGGAGAGAACACATTTCTCTGGTTTGCTGTGAGATAATCTGTTAACTACTGTGTAAACCAGAAGTTCTCAAACTTGAGCATTCATCACAGTCATCACGGAGGGCTTATGAAAGCACGGATTGCAGAAGTTAGGGCTCCAGAGGTTCCGATTCAGTATGTCTGATGCCAAATGCTGTGCGTTTCTAACAAGTTGCCAGAGTGATATGCATGCTGCTGGTGGTGCACAGGTGACACTGGGAGACCCAGTGGTCCGAAGGTCCCAAATGCTGGTCAGAGTTGAATTTCCCACTATGCTCAGTTCGACCCTGGACACAACAATCCATCCAGAATCACTTGATCATATTTATGGCCTTTTCAGGGAGAGAAAAGACCCTTGACATTCTCCATCTTTTCATGTAATGGGAAAGGATCTGGACTGCCCAAAAAACAAGCAGCTGCCTCAGAAATGGGAAGAGCCTGAACCCAGGAGCGTTTCCTCTGTAGAACACCCAAGGGTTGCTGTGGACACCTACTCTGCGTTCTCCCCAGAGCATGGCCAAGATGACCTGGCTCTTCATTGTGTGTCCCTTTCAGACTTTAAAGATTTTTACTAAATGAATTGATGGCTGGGCTAAATGTGTCTTTGAGAGCAAGTCAAAGGTACCTTCGATAAAATCATTATTTTAAAAGAGGGCCCAGCACCACTGCCCATCTTGATTTATGTGAGGGGAATACCCTTTCCAGTTTTTCACAGGCAGGGAGGCCCTCTCTTACCGAAGGAATAATGATAAAAAATGAAACACAGCCTTGCTGGCTGATGTGATCAGGACGCACTTCACCCTCACCTCATGCCATCCCCACCATCATCCCAACTACCTCCATTTTGTAGATGAGACATCCTAGGCACAGAAAAGTGCATTTGCTTGACCCAGGGTTTAAATCAAGTCTGATTCCAGTGCTTGGGCTTTTAAATACACTGATGTGAAAAATTCATTTGTCCAAAAAATTAAAATCCCAAGCAAGATAATTACTGGGCTATTTAACGTTATTTAAAAAACGGTATTCAAGCAGATGACAAGAAAACCCAACAGTAACTTTTAACCCTGGTCTCCTGTCTCAGGAGGTAGACTAGGGGTATCCCAAAGTATATTAAAACATACAAACAAAAATCCGACTCGCTGAGGCATCAGGGTCATTCTGAAGTGAATCTCTTCTTCAGGGTGACAAACTGCTTCTCCGATGAAAGAGAGAGGCCCCCTCAGAAGTGGGGGTGCAGGCGGGGTTCTTGTTTTAACGGTTAACGTTAAGAGCCTCCTTCCTTTACTAGACTTGGTCCTGCCTGCTAACTTGGCTGCAGGACAGTGGGCTCCCACGCCTGGAGCAGCCTCCCCAGGTTAGTTATCTGGGACAGTACTCGCCCCCTTGCCTGGGAAGAGGAGGTCGCGCCATAAAAGCCTGGACCTTCCAGCCGTGCTCCATCCATCTCGAACCCCAATAACTGGGTGCAAAACAAGCTTGGCCAGAGCTTGCAGAGAACGCAGCGCCTGCGAGGCTGGCACAGTCTCCCCAGCTCTCCCTCGGGAGTGGCCCCAGCGTCTTCCCCGGTGATGTCAGCGGAATCCTGAGCAGGATCCCGCTCCCCGGCCGCGGGGTCGAATGGGGCTGTCGCCCGCCCGGGTGTCGCCGCGGCGCCGCAGCAGCGCCAGAGCCCAGACGCGCGGTGCCCGGAGCGGCCTCGAGCGCCGCCTCCGCCGGCTGCCCACGCCGCGCTCCGCCCTGGACGCTGCCGGTCCCGGCGCGGGGGTGCGGCAGGGGGTGGAAGCGGGCCGCGCTCAGCCTGATTTACGGCTCTGCTGAAAACCGCTTCGCTCCCGCAGCATCAGCACCGGCGGCGGCTATAGCAACAAGTCGGGTAAGCGGTGGACGCCGGGCGTCTTCGCCCACCGCCGGGCCCCCGCGGGCGCGGCGCTCGGGGCGGCCGGGCTAGGGAGGGTTCCCGTTTCCGCGGCCTGGAGAGGAGTTAGGAGAGCCGGCTTCTCGGCCCCACCTGCGGGAACCTGGGCTCGCTGCGGAGCGGAGGCGGAAGAGCGGAGACCCCGGAGGCAGAGCGACCGCCAGCCGGCCCCGCTCTGTGGGAGTAAGTGAGGGCTTTTCCGATAACCCCAGGGACTGGGGTTTCCCCTGGGCCCATAAAAGCCTGCGTGCGCCGGAGTGAGGACCCATTCCGGCATCTAGGGATAGCTCCCTTTCCCGCTACCCCCTAGAATTCAGAATTCGCTTTCGACCACCTCTGGCCAATGACTTGGGACCGGCTGTGGGCCAGAATTTGCCTCTCATCCCCAGAAAACCAACCCTTAAACATCCCAGTGTAGCACAGGAAGAGGTTCCCGTCCCTAGAGTCCAGAGGCTTAACCTGGAAGCTATGCCCGCCTACCTGTCAGGGGATCGTGGGCGCCTCTGCTGTTGAAGAGGTTGGGAACCCAATAAGGACACTTTTCACCCTAAAACCCCAGCTGGGCACCTTTGTGTGGGGTCCCAATGCTTGTTAAATTTGCGCAGAAGCCATTCCTGAAGGGAATAAATGTGCAGTACTTGCAGAATTGGGTTGCTAGGGTGAAAATTTAAAAAAGAAATCCTGCAAGAAAGCAAGAACTTCCTGTTACTGAGAGTTATGCCGATACCTGCGTGGTTCAAACACTGGCCTGCTCTAGAGTGTGTCGTGTTAAAGCGGGATCAGAGATGACATCCATCGATGCACAACATGCTGGCATCATAGCATCTTGGCCTGGCCCCTACTCATGCCAAATGGTAACTTGGCATCTTGAGTCCCCAAATTTCAATAAAGCTGAAGTGTAGGGGTCATCACTATGATAAGACAGATTTATGTCGTCACAGCAGTCGTTAAAGGGGGAAAAATTAAAAGCAAAATCTCAGGTTGAAAATTTTTCAGCTGATTGTGCGCTTACTGCTGTGCCTAGCTGGGGTAATACCTTTCCTGTCCTTAAAGGAAAGATTGCGGAGCTTGCTCTCCTAGGACCTTTACTTTGACAGTTTGTGTGAGTTTCCCTCATTTTTGGAACTTTTGCTTCATCTGGATTGCATCAGTGAAGTAGGGATGCTTTCTCATTTCGTGTACCAAATTCAAGAGGGAGGTAACTTGAATTCCACCTCTCCATCTGTCCCTCACCATTTGACCTTGGTTTCATTACTTTACTTCTTTGCTCCAATTTTCTCATCTGCAAAGAGGAACTGTTCCCCGCCCGTTTTGATCCTAGGCATGGCGAGAAAACTTGTTCTGTAAAGGCCAACTAGTAGACATTTTCAGCTTTGTAACTTGTAGTTGTCTGTCTAATTGCTCCTCTTAGTTACTGTAGTGCAAAAGAAGCAGCGGATGGTTCAGAAGTGAATGCATGGGCTGCATCTGGCCTGTGGGGTTTATAGTTTTCAACATTAAAATCAGCATGCACTATTGTAAGGCAAAGTCACTTGAAAGCCAAAAGCCTCTGTCCTCGTGGAGGTGAGCAGCAGTCATCTCAGTAGCATTTTCCCCCAACAGACGTGTAAACTACTTCTCCCCCTCTCCTAGGACTTTTAGAGTAATGCAACAGAAGGCTTTTGAGGAAAACAGATATCCCTGGCAGGAGTCCTTCGAGAATGTTGCTGTGTGCCTGCCATTCCGCTGCCCGAGGTGTGGAGACCACACCAGATTTAGAAGCTTGTCGTCCCTGAGGGCCCATCTGGAATTCAGTCACAGCTATGAAGAAAGAACTCTCCTGACAAAATGCAGCCTCTTCCCGTCGCTCAAAGACACAGACCTGGTCACTTCCACAGAACTCCTGCAACAGGGGAAATTGCAGAGCGGTGGCCAAGCGGCAAAGCAGAGACCCAGCTATGTTAACTTGTACAGCGTTTCGCATGAACACTCCAAGGACCGGAAGCCATTTGAGGTGGTGGCGGAGAGGCCTGTGTCCTACGTGCAGACCTACACTGCCATGGACCTGCGCACTGACTTGGTGGATGGGCCACGGTCAAGTCCAGGACTCCCCACTTCGGACACCAAAGCTGCTTTCGAGGCACACGTCAGAGAAAAGTTCAATCGGATGGTTGAGGCTGTGGACAGGACCATCGAGAAGAGAATTGATAAACTCACCAAAGAGTTGGCCCAGAAAACGGCTGAACTGCTGGAAGTTCGGGCAGCTTTCGTGCAGCTGACTCAGAAGAAGCAGGAAGTTCAGAGACGAGAGCGAGCCCTGAACAGACAGGTGGATGTGGCTGTGGAAATGATCGCTACGCTGAGGCAACGCCTGACAGAATCGGAGGAGGAGCTTCTAAGGAAAGAGGAGTAAGTGGTGCTGAAACACAAGGTGCTAACCCCATTGCTTTAGGCAGTCCCAACTGCCACCCCACCCACCCACACCCCCACCGGCACAAAGCCACAAGCAAAAGTTAAGCAAGATTTGGTTTTCATTATTTACAGGGGACGTGGCTGCATTTCCCATGGGACAAAGAGGCATAGGGCTTTGATGTTATTTAATCTCTTGTGTATGATCTATAACCCAACAACATTAGACTTAAAATGTGTAACTCCTTGTCACCTTGGGTGCTGTACACCACAGGTCATGTTTTTGAGCTAGAGGAATAACACAGTCTACCCATGGTGGAATCCATTCCCAGTGTGCAAGGTGAGTTGAACAGGAAGTCAGCAAGGGCATGCTAGGAGAGCCATTTTTTCTTGACTGTCTCCATGTCATAAAGTCAAGGACATGAGATGCTGTCTTCTTCAAATGTACAAACAAGCACCATCTATAGGTAGTTTTGACTTATTTGCCATTTTGGATTGTCCACTCATGTTAATTGAGTGTTGATCACTGAGAACCCATTTAATTATAATGTGTATGTGGAAGAAGCAGATGTTAGGAAATTCACAGGAAAGACCTTCAGATGCGATTGTTCTGTGATTTAGGTTTGATAATGTTTTTATGTGAAATAATGGATGATGCAAGAAAAAGAAGTCCTGTCCACTTGCAAAAAGTTGATACTAGTTCTTAACTGAGGGTGCTACTCGAAGATAGTACTTGCAAAGTCATAATACTTGGAAAAGCATTTCTTTATCAGCAAATGTGAATTTAACACAATACATAATAATTTGGTGTATTGTACAAATGCAGATGGTCAGATTCCATTCTAAACGGTGGCTCAGAATTCATGGAATCAAATGACCTAAAAATTGTTAGAATAAAAACTGGTGGACTAGAACATCCTGGATGGCAGGTTTCCACATCATTTGTGTTCTATTATAAGGATTGGTTTAATTTCATCCTTTCTTTGCCCTCAGGTACTCTCCTGTGTCATGTTATCTCTTAACATGTGATAATTAAAACTTCCTGAGAAATCACTTGCTGTCACAAATGCCTTCATTCTACCTAGAGAGAAGCCAGCTCTGCTCAGATGAGGCCTAAAATTATATAGTTAGGATGGGTTTAAATCAGCCACTGATTCACTTTGCTCACAGGGATGTGATCTCTAATGAAAGAAGTTTCTTTTTTGGCTTCTGATATTCCCCGGTGGAAAGTTAGTGTCTTGAGCTCAGTGGCCACCAGGGTGACCAATATTGCACCACTGGAAAAATGGAGGATGGGCTGTGTTATGTGCAGAGAAAAGCCTAGAATTAAAGGTGTTACATTTCTGTTTGATTCCAGAGCAGTTTAAAAGGCAACTGAGTTAATGTTTTACATTTATTTTTATTTTATCTTATTAAGTAATTTAAAAAGAAATAGCGAATGTGGAATTGGGTGTTGGAAGACAAGAAGATGGAGGAGAGGATCCTATGGTTAGATGTAGGTTATTGTCAAGGTCTAAATTTTGTTTGTAGTGGGCTCAAGGGTGCTTTATTATTTAAAATAACTGATTAACTAAATAAAAGTGGTCATGCATGGATCAATAATGGTAATATGTTACAGTTAACCCAAGACTGTCACGTGAGCACCAGATGAGAAACAAATACATACTTACTTAAAAAAATATTTAATAGGATGGAACTGTGTGTGCTAAAATACCCCCTCCTCTCCAAGCATGGTCCACATCATCCTCTGGAGCCAGCCACTATCAAGTTCAGTAAATGTCTTTTTTTTTTTTTTTTTTTTTCCCGACAGGCAGAGTGGACAGTGAGAGAGAGACAGAGAGAAAGGTCTTCCTTTTGCTGTTGGTTCACCCTCCAATGGCCGCCGCGGCCGGCGCACTGCGGCCGGCGCACCGCGCTGATCTGAAGCCAGGAGCCAGGTGCTTCTCCTGGTCTCCCATGGGGTGCAGGGCCCAAGCACTTGGGCCATCCTCCACTGCACTCACTGGCCACAGCAAGCAGAGAGCTGGCCTGGAAGAGGGGCAACCAGGACAGAATCTGGCGCCCCGACCGGGACTAGAACCCAGTGTGCTGGCGCCGCAGGTGGAGGATTAGCCTGTTGAGCCATGGTGCCGGCCGTAAATGTCTTTCTAGACCTTTCCTATTATATACAATCATGTTATTCATATATGCAGAGCTACTGTGTTTTTCCAAATGGAATCATGACCCACACCACTCTGCCACTTGGCACAGAGTTGTTCTTATTTTAACATCATATGCCTTAAGCATATTTTTTAACACTGAATACAGAATTTTGCCATTCTTTTTGGTTATTGCATGGTATTCCATGGTGTGGATGCATAATGATTGATTTAACCAGTTTGCTGTCAATGAATACATAGTTCTATTCTATTTTCCTAGTATTAACAATAGTGCCTCAGTTAATATATTCTCATACATCTTTATCACATTTTTGTGAATATACCTGAGAGCAAATTGTGAGTTCATTTTTAGTATGTCACTTTTGGACTAACAGAAACAAACAATACTTTTTTTAAACTACAACTTTGAATAAAAATATAGTGAAATTGCCTTACATTTTTAAATATAAAGTGTTTTTTTAAGCCTTCATTTGGATCTGTTCTCTCAGATTCTACATTCAAATCCCAAATAATCACTCTCTGTATGCATAAAATGGTACTGAAAGAGTCTTGTTTCCAGGAGGGACACTGGGGCTCTTGGTCTAAGAGAGCAACTGTGGACAGGGCCATCAGTGTCCACAGGGTCTAGCCTGTTCTCCCGCCCCCATCTGAATGGGGATGCAGCTGCCCATCTGCCACATCATTGATGACTGATTTCACTGAGTCTGCCTGGCTGAGCTGGTCCCTTCCCTCCTTGCCACTCCCTCACAGCACTGTGCCTTCCAACAAAGAGGTGGCCTTAAGAAAGCCCTATTTGGCCAAGGTACATACTGGGAGCTGTGGTCCCCTGCCAGAGTTCCCCTGCCCCATGAGCTTCTGAGGTACATTTGTGGGAGAAAGTGGGTAATTCCTATCCCATTTGAAATTGACTTAAATGCTAAAGTTGCTTTGAAACATAGATGGCAGATTTAGTTGAAAAAAAAAAATAACATTCTAGAAAACTCTCTTGCTGTTTTTTTGTTTTGTTTTGTTTTGCTTATGGATTTTCCTCTCAACTTTAAAAATCCTTTCAAACTGAAATAAAAGACTCCAGGGCTACTTCTGCCCTGAGGCCATCTATAGACCCAATCAACTAGGCTTATAGAAAAATATATGTACATATGCACATTGTAACTGAGGACATTGTTTGAATTGGGAAAGTTTTCTGCTTTGTACTGGGAAGTCCCATTAGACCCCTACAGAGAGGTATCTGTGTGTTTCTGAAGTGCAAATCCAAGAAAGAAGCTGTTCACTGTCCTCACAAAGAGAGTACAACTTTACAAGTCCTGTTGAAATAGGTGTTTACTTATTGAGGAGTAGTCAGAGCTGGCCGTAATCAGGTAAATCAATCTGGCAGCCTTGCAGTAAGGTAATACCTTGGCGAGAAAGATGGACGTAGATAGTGGATGAGCTGCTGGCCCAGTTGGTCTTCTGGGGTTTGGAGAATTTGAGTGCAATAACAGTAATCACAAATTACTTCTGTATTCCTCTGTCAAAAAGGTTGGGAAGTCCTGAGTGAGCACCTGCGATGTGCCTAGCATGGTGCTAGGTGTTTGTGAGGAACATACAGTTTTTGATATTTTCTCCTAAGGCATATGTAGACTCTACATGGCAAGAATATGTATACCCATGAACTTGCCCTTTTAGTCTTTACAAGTGCTTAAATACAAGCCACAGTTTCAGGTTGATGAGACAGGGCAGATCTTCCCTTGTGGAGAAATCCCACTGAAGGGATAAGGAGGAAGGGTGGGATTTGTGTTGGAGGACTGAGGGGGTAACATTGGAGGAACAGCTGTAGGGAGAGCTGTTAGAGATGGCCCCTGAGTGGACTGTGTGCCTTTTAATTTTAGACCTGGAAGGCACCATCTGTCCCTTTCAGGGTAACATGTTTTACAGTCACACAAAAAAATAGGACCCAGAGCAGTAGATTTAGTTGCAAAGTGAAGCTGGAACCCAATTTCCCTTTTCTGCTGAGTGCTTTTTCCATTTGTTCTCTGTGTCCCCGCCAGACTTCTGAAAATGTGATATTTGCCCAAAGCATAAAGACTTATGTAATACCAAATGTGGCCCATTTTGGAATGGGCTTCTTTGCTATTTTGAGAGGGCTGCCAAGGTGACATCATTTATTTTTCCGATGTGAATAAATAAATGCCAACTGGCATCACAGGTGTTGGAAAGCTGGAAAATGGTGGTGTCATAGGCATGGTGATGATACTAAGCTTCCAAAACACTTCAGCCCAGGGTGTCTAACTTCCAGGAGAGGCTTTTAATTGAATGTCCATGCTCAGTTATGCTGGGGCTTGTGCCATTGCTGGCCATGGATCACAGTGAGAGGCTACTGTGTGATTCCATCTCTAATTTCCATCTTGCTCCTTAAGGAGCTACAATAGATATAAGGTTCCTCTCTGCCTTCATCATGTGTCCTGTCCCTAGGTTGGGGCCATGCAGAAGACAAATCTTTATGGAGTACATGCTCAGTACCACGTGCTATTCTAAGTCCTTAGCACACAGTAATAAACTCAGTGAACCCAGCTCCTATTTTTATGCAACCTATAGACCAAAAGGGAAAACAGACATTAAATAGATCATTAGTGGGTATGATAAAAGATACACAGAGGGCAGCCTGAGCGGATAACTCCCATTTAGGGTGCTATCCAAAGCTGCTGCAGAGTGCTCACCTTTCAAAGGCAAGTTTGACATAGTAACTTGCTTTGCACAACTCAACCTTCTTGCCATTGAATTAAGCATGTCCCAAGTTCTGATCAGCTAAAGCATTGAGTTGACAACCTGGTGTCCACAGTCAGCAGGCTGAGGAACAATATG